CTCAAAAATTTATGGACACACAAATCTTTATATTTATCTCCAACCTTTTAACTTCTAATATTATATCGAAAAAACCGATCAGTACTTTGATTCTTTTTCACCTTTGAAGTCATTAAGTGGCTACTTATCAATAATCCCACAAGTTAAATAGAAGCAGAGAATGAAAAGCTAAAGAGTTCTAATAGTCCAATGGTTGTTCAAATTCTTGGAATGAGTAAACTTATGACTATGAATTAAAAGTCAATCTGAACGAAGAATATTCTTTTCAATAATTTCTCTTCAGGTTCTTACAATTATAAAATATAATATTTGTTGTCGTTACAATAAGGCCAGTTATGCGGCAGATACATTTTTAACGTAGAATAACAGATTAGTTATGGGGTGTGAAAATAAATAGTCGTATTTGTGTGACAAACGTGCTAGGCTGAATTCGATTACAAAATAATGTAAAACGGGAGACAATGGTGATTAATCATAATAGATTTGTAGAGTGTGGGGTAGGAAAATTGACAAGTCAGTTCAAGGTTATAAAAGGTGTCAGGTGAGTGGCTAGTACAAAGTGGTCTGTGTTAAACAGGAGATAGTAAGACTGCATTGGGAGGTTCATAATGAGATAACGAATATGTGAAATGAAACAGGTGGAGGCATATATTGAGAAAAGAGATAATATCACTAATAATAAGGCCCTATTTTCGCGAATATATTTCTAGCAAAACTAGAAAATAGTCCGTTGAAAGAGGAAATAGCAAATATGGAAATGTATTGTCGTTACATGGATGACACTTTTGTAGTGTACGATGAAGGGTTAAGTAGTGATTTGATTTTGAGCAACTTCAATAATGCTCACCCAGCGGTCCATTTCACCTACGAAGGAGAATGCAACGACTCTCTACACTTCCTCGACGTCCTACTAACGAGAAGAGAGGATGGTTCCGTCAAAAGAACCATATTTAGAAAGCTAGAGACCAAAGCTCAGTATACACACTTCCTTAGCTTTGTACCGATGAAATACAAACGCAATCTGATCAGATGCTTAGCATTTAGAGCAAGGTCGATTTGTTCCGAAGACTGTGTAGAGAAAGAACTCCAGGTCATCCGAGACATTCTAAGTGAGAACGGATATCCAGAGAAGTTCATTAAAGCAAACATAGGTTACAATAGTCGTAAACATGAACTGGCAACGGTGGAGAAAAAGCCTCTGTTTTTACGTCTCCAATTCAAGGGAGATACTCCTGCAGAGATTCTATCGCAACGTTTAACCAGGGCGATCAAGAAAACTTTCTACTCTGCACGTCTGTGTCTATCCTTCAGTAGCCGTCCAATGTTCACCCAGCAACTCAAAGATGTTTTACCTAATCTTAGCTCTTCTTCATGCATATACCATTTCAACTGTTCCTGTGGTTCAAGTTATATAGGGCGCACGATTAGGCAGGTTCGTCTACGGGTTCGAGAACATATACCAGCTTGGTTCAGCAGAGGGGAAATTAAGTGCATAAAAAGCTCGATCCTGTCCCACTTGGTCGATACTGGACATCATATCGATGTCAACACAGCTTTCAGGGTTATATACCGAATTCCGAAGTCGTTATCACGTACAGTTCGCTTACGTCTTCTACACATAGCTGAAGCTGTTGCAATAAGATCGACTAAACCGGAACTTTGTATCCAAAAAGAACACGTCCAGACGCTGTTCCTATCGTGGCCAAACTTGGATTGATGATTCTTCTTCTCACCAAGAGTGCTCCTTACCCTTAACCCTCTTGGTTTTTTTTCCTTTGCTTATTATTACAATTATTATTATTATTAATATTATCATTATTCGTCATAATTTATGCCCTTCATGCAAACATTCTCTCAATACTATCGAATTTTTTTTTTCGTTTATACTATCCGGACTTATTATTAGTGATATTATCTCTTTTCTCAATATATGCCTCCACCTGTTTCATTTCACATGCAGTCTTACTATCTCCTGTTTAACACAGACCACTTTGTACTAGCCACTCACCTGACACCTTTTATAACCTTGAACTGACTTGTCAATTTTCCTACCCCACACTTTACAAATCTATTATGATTAATTACCACAACTGTCTCCCATTTTACAATATTTTGTAATCGATTTCAGCCTAGCACGTTTGTCACACAAATACGACTATTTATTTTCACACCCCATAACTAATCTGTTATTCTACGTTAAAAATGTATCTGCCGCATAACTGGCCTTATTGTAACGACAACAAATATTATATTTTATAATTGTAAGAACCTGAAGAGAAATTATTGAAAAGAATATTCTTCGTTCAGATTGACTTTTAATTCATAATATGGGAATTTTCGACACTATCAAATCTTATGACTATGATGCAAACTGGTTTCGTCATCTTTACCAAATGACCAACTTGACAACGAAAAAATGACCCCAGACTGACGAACGATGATCAAGTTAGTAAACTTTATTTTGATATCATAACAGATGCACTATTACCTTTGTTATTTGTTTTAGTGATCTTCATTGTTATTTTGACTTTCAATATGTCCTTTTAATTTGACCTAAGTCTATTTTCTCACCTCTTAACTCTTTGTTATTTATATGCTGAGATTTTGTAAATTCCGGTTTAATAATACTTTGATAAAGCTACTAGCATTAAATAGCGAAACGTCAGTAAAAACAATATCCCAGTGGGTGCGTACTGCTGATGATTACCAAACTGGGATGACACAGTAGCTGTCCAGTACTCCCTGGTTTTCAATGGTTCTCTAACTAATATCAATCCGTGATCAACTCGTAAAAAACAATATCGTTTTGTTTTTCATTCATTGGGAAATACAAAGACCTCGATTATAATGAATCAACATATTATAGTCAGACAACTACTATAAAAATTAGGTGAAGTATTGATCTATACAAGTAAATACATCACTTATGAAATGGTTATCTAAACAGTCGAATTCGACTGCAAATAACCAACGACTCAAAGAGGAACAAAAAAGGACTGATAACTATTAAGATGGAATAAACTGATACAAATAATCAGAAAACTGAAATCCTCGATGGGCTTCCACTTCCATTCGGATTTTAAGTAGAATTTCATTGAAAAATCCTCAGCAAAAATGGGTTCCGTTCAAACTTCAGGCAAAATATATACTTCATCTGTTGAAGACTTGCTGTCATTTTAGTATTCTGACTGTATTTAAAGGTTGATATTTGTTTCAGTATCCTATTTATAAAATGACTGTGGGTAAATAAACTAATACAGGAAATTTGAAAACCACAATGGTGGCTTTATTTACTTAACTGAAGATAAGGTTATTAAATTCAGAGTGTGTTCAAATTGCTACTCAATTCAAACAAACAATAAAGATGAATAAAAATGGCAATAAGCTATTTACACCAATGCATAACATTCACTGATGCATACTAAATAGAAATCATTTCATTTTTGCAATGTTACGCTCATTTAGGTATTCTGAAATCGGTTGAGAAATCTGATGAATTTAACACCGAGAATAAACTCCTAAATTTCAACACCAGTGTTAAGTCAATGCTTCCATATTAGGACAATTAGTTCCCTTTATGAATTTAGATAAAGCAATAAGAAGATGTAATTCGTCTGAATCGTGTTATGTATTTGGGACGTATCCTAAAGTTTGTGGAAGCCTTAGCAATTAGAAAGTTTAAACCATCTTTATGCGTTCAAAAATAATTCGTCATCACATTAAACCTTCCTTGGTAAATTTTGTTTTGATACCATAGCAGATGTACTATTACCTCTCTCATTTGGTTTAGTGATCTTCATTGTTATTTGACCTTCAATATGTCCTTTTAACTTGACCTGAGTCCATTTTCTCACCACTTAACTCTGTATTAATTTCATGTAACAAGTCCGTATACGATCAGATTGTTCAAAATGTGTGTTGTGCAAATACATTACACAATTCTGACAAATTAAGTCTTTTTATTGATTTAAACTGTTTTAAATTAATTATTACTCTTAGCCTACCTTGGAAATGGTTGTCTAGTGGGATAAGCAAACGTGGTGTTAATTATTCTTAAATCCTTTTTTTGACTTTGTGTACTTTAATTGCCTTTTATTTCCCATATAAATTGACTTGATAAGTAAATGTGGAATCAGATTGTTCGAAATGTGTTGCACAAATACATTACAAGATTCAGACAAATTACATCTTCTTATTGCTGCTATATTAGAAAGAAACTTGGTGCATCAACAAAAGCATTTCCAGCAAGATGCAGACTTTTGTCAGCAAATGCCTTCGCCAGCTCCATACTGAAGACCGGATGACTAGAAAGGATTAGTAACAAGGAACTCTAACAGGCAGCAACCCAACCAAGAACTTATTGTCCATGAAATATGACGAAGTAAGTGGAGGTGGATCGGATACATGTTCAGCAGACCGCCGAGTGACATGGCTTGCCAGGCCCTCGAGGGGGCCCCAAGTTGGGCGTCCAAGGGTTGTGGTGAGAGCTGTCTACTAGCCAAATTGGTAGACAATAATTTACGTCAATATTTACGTTCCCAAGATTTGTCGTGAGAAACAACCAATCGGAAGACTGTGTTTGTTTGTTTACGTATCCATAGTAATGTACATGAAAACATATATAAATATGCGTTGATTTCCTTAATAAATGATCTGTTGCCTGACTCTTGCCTTCTGTCGTTACAGGGTAACACTGAGGAGATCGTGTGAGGAGGAGATTAAAGTTTATAGACAATCGTGAACCATGCGGTCAGCTGAAGGGAACTACAGAAAACAGGATGAAATGGAGATGTGCTGTTGAGGCCCTATGTTCCACTCGGAACCCAAGGGAATAGTAATGATATTCAAAACACTTACTTCAAAAAAAGAAACATTGGAATGTACAGAAATGAGCAATTTAAAGAAACTTAGGCGAAATACCGCTTAATTGTACAAACTTAATTCATATTTTATGATTATATGGAAATTTTTTTATCCACATTTAGAATCATATAACTTACCATGTATTAGTAAAGAGTTATCAGCCTGCAGAATATAACGATTACCAAAACTCAGTGGAACATTCCCCGATCCAGTAACACGATACCATTTAACATTTGGTTGTGGTTGACCAGTTACTGGACAACTTAAAGTTGTATCCATTGCGAATTCAGCTAACACCTTCGAACTAGTAATATCCGTAAGCACTTTTGGTGGGACTGAAAAATTCAAAAACAATTTGTGGCGCGTTTAAAGACACAATCAATTCGAAATCTTACTTCAGGAAGTCTAACGATAGAGTATTTCAAATAAATTCATAATAAACCGGTTTGGATACGCACAAGACGTATGATAGTCAACCAAGATCTGATCGATTACCGAGGAACCTCTGTTCTATCTTCACGTTCATCTTCTAATTTTATGATACTCTGATCATTCAGGTGAATATTTTTCATTTCTTTCAAATGAGCTGTGTTATTTATGCAGAACTATGAGGACAAATTGATACAGACTTATTGGTAACATTTTATGATATTTTTTCATACATAGAACTAGATATTCATCACTTGTCAACGGACTGTTATTCGAAGGCAGTCATCATGAAAGACAGGACACATTAGTTCGTGTTAATTCACTTACTAACCAAAGTTTAAAGTTGATCAAAATAATTCATTCGGCATCAAATTTCCGGTAAATTACACCATTAAATGACAGTGTTAGACGATTCATTTATTAAAATTTCCCTAATATCGAGAATTCCAACGGGAATCGTACCATGCCCTGTAGTTCAGAAAACAGAGGAGAAGATAGTTCAACAGGCTGTAAATATTCCACGTTTACTTATTCAGGAAAACAAAACGGCTTATTGATGGAGACGTGACAAATTAGTATTCACAATAACCACAAATTAAATATCCACAGTGATTAATAAACTCAGACTTACATCCAACATCCATTAGTACAGACTCCCTTGTATAACCAGCAGTATTTTCAGCAAGACATGTCCATTCACCCTTCATATCTTGACGAACTGAAAGTAGTTTCAAGACTCCTGCCTCTTCATCAATACGTATACCGGGACTACTAGTAACCTTTATTTTAAAAGTATTAACAAAGAAAACACAGTCATTTAAGAGATAGCAGACAACCAATCTCATATTCTTTGTTATCGAAAGCATTTAAAGAGGAATATTAGTAAATGCTTGTTCATTTATATTTATGGGATGAATTTCCATATTAACTGATGTTGTCCCGCTGTAATGAGTACCTCTTTAAATGAGGAATGAATTGTTGTGACTTTTTAGTATGAAGCTTGACAGAGAAATGAAGGTTCTTTGATGCAATGTACATGAAGACTACAAGTACATGAATGCTGATGTGCATAATTACTAACGATTGTAATTTTATCTTGTTAGGTATATTTTAGTTTTGCTGAATTACTATTAGGTACAGATAATCTTTTCTTTCAGTAAAGACGTGGTTAATTAACATAAGATGCCCATAGGTCCGCGGTTTGTATCTCTTCTTACCTTATGCATCTTGACTAATAAGGTGACATCATCGTCCTTGACATTGCCATTTATTTTTGTTCCCCTAGGTTCCAAGTGAGACAGAGGGCTTCAACAACATATCCTCACCTTCTTCTATTCTCTTCTGTCCTCTTCACCTGGGTCCATGATTGCCCATAATCTGCAATCTCCTCCATGTCACCATCCCACCGACGATCCACTCATCGCTTCCCATTTGGATCCCACTCGAGCGATCGACTGCATTGTGCGCGATGTCATTTGATGGCCTCCTCAATGTATGCCTGATCCATCTCCATTTTGTCCTACATATTTGTTGAGCGACCGGCTCATGGTTGGTCTGTTCCCATAGTTTCTTGTTACTAATTCTTTTTAGCCAGCTATTTGGTCTTCAGTATGGAGCCAGCGAAGGTAGCTGTTGATGAAAGTCTGCAACCTGTTGGAAATCCTTTCCGTGAAACGCCAGCCAAGTTTCTGACCCGTATGGAAGTACTGACTGCCTTCACGTTTGTGCTGAAAATCCGAATCTTGTTCTTTATTCTAGCTGAAAACAGTGCAGAAGATTTCCAAACTGGTTTCAGGCTGATGAAGGAGTATCTTCCCTTTTCGATTCTGACTGCCTGGCTTTGACATCTTCATCTATCCCGCTGTATGCAGTTGAAACGATGCTTCCTAGATAAGTGAAGGAAACAACCTCTGTTAAATCTCTTCTGTTGATGGTAACTGGTACTGATTGTTGCTGTTGGTAGAATGGAGGGAAGCCATCCTCGACACAACCTAGTCATATTCTACTTCTTTTGGTGCATAAGAGTAATGATTTAGCAAAGAATCAAATAAATCGTAAACTTACCGGGCTACCATTGAAGTCCCATTTTACTTTAGGTTTTGGTTTACCAGAGACATGACATGTAAATGTTTGTTCTTGGCCTTCTACTGGCAGAGGAGTAGATATTTCCAGTTTTTCGATTTTTGGCGGTGATATAAAATTAGCAGTAATCTGTATTGTACTATTGCCAGCTGAATTAATAGCTATGCATGAATAGTCACCAGCATCACTAGATTTTGCAGGACGAATAATTAATCTTGACTCCTTTAATGAAGAAAACGATAGATGTGTACAAAGGTTTGGTTAGTTAGACTAAAACTGTTTACTTTGAATTTTTAAAAGTGAGATTAATCATTAATATTTAGGTACTGAAGGGGATAAAATTATTTCAGACACACGAATTCTCTGTACTAAGTAGGCTATAGCTCAAATCTCGCTACATCTTTTGTAACCTGAACACACAGAAGAATAATTTTATTTTATTATTTTTTTTAATTTTGGTTACAGCTTGATGCCACACACAAGTATGTAATTTTCAGCATGGATATCGGTGGTCCAAATTTTGCAGGCCGACCATAGATATCAGGTGTGCGTCGGCAGGGGATCGAACCTCGGACCATGTGCATGGTCGGCGAGAGTCCTAACCGCTGTGCTACCATTACAGAATTATTATTAACCATTGTTTGTTATAAGAAAAGTCTGTTATTGACTTATAAAATACATTAGGCTATCGTCGTTTATGTAAAAAAACAGTAGCTGGGGCTAATGCATACCAGACTGAGATATTAGCACGTTAGCTATGTTATAATATGCAGAAGAAATAGGAACAAATTACTAAACACTAGACATTTCATAATTAATGTTATTGATAGTAATAATAATAATAGCATTATTCTGAATAGCGCTTTCATACACGGTACAGAGTATTTATCGTATTTTATTGCAAAACATTTATTCCTTGTGTGTGAAATAATAATAATGGATAGTACATCATTTTAAGCGATATGTCCAAGGCACGCTTGAGTATTCCGTAATATCTGTCCTTCACTTATGTCGTTATGTGATACAGGGATATAACTCGACGATTGAAACATTATTAAATAGGGTGGACTTTATGCATTGTACTGGGTAGAACAATAGGTAGCTCAGCTATTTAAACAGGCCGGCGTATTCTATTTAAAAGTGCGAAACATGCTTTAAACGACCTCTGTTTAATGATAAAATGTCATTCTGTAGTTTGTAAGGTATAAATTCATTTACTGTTAAGTATAACTCTCCTGGGTGAAATCATATAAACCCTCATAATGACAGTCATGATAACTGGTGATTGTTGGTAAAATATTAAAATACATATTCAGGTAGCACAGACAGTGATGATAAAAACCAAATGAACACTCTTGGTTGGCATCATAGTTACTTGTACGGGTGAACTGATAATGCATTCTTGTTAGTTATGGAAAAAAAATGTCTTCTGCTCTAGTGGATCCATATGTGTATTTATGTATATACCTAAGTATTCTGGACTTCATAGTCAACCCTGACTGAAGACTGCTGAGACACGTTCTTCTTCCCATCGGAAAATCTTTTAGAATATTCTAAATCCCTCGTGTAAATTGTATGTGATCATTTAGATTACTCTTCTTATTTCTTTACGTTCCCAGGAGAATATAGGGCTTCAAGCTAGAGCTTTGAGGTTTCAGTAGCAGGGGTGTTTATTTTTACGAGGTGAATTTGTTAGTCTCATGCCAAAACTTCCCTCTTTACCGGTCTTATCATCAGCTTCACGATGTAAAGGGGTGTGTCGGCCGTGGATCGAACCCCGGACCACTCGCGTGGTTAGCGGACATTCTACCGCTAAGCCGCCGACACACATTGTGATCATTAATGGACTAATAAAAATAAAATAACGAATAATAAAAGCAAATGAAACTTACAAAAAACTCCTCGATCACTGTAATACGCTGATCATCATCAGTGGATATTGTAATCGGTACATTATTATAAGCCCATATAATTTTAGGTTTTGGTGCTCCTTCTGAACGACAACTCATGACCAGTGCACTTCCCTCTTTGAATGTAACTGTTTCTTCGTCAGCAGTTACAATAGGACGAGCTATATTTTGGGGAAATAAAAGTTATGCAAAGGAGAAAAATGAGATTTATGCCCACTTTCAACTTCACTTGACTTCCCATTCAGTTTTCTTAATTTTGTAAATAGTTTCTACAGTCAAACAGACGCCAACTGGCTTGTGAAAAAAAAAGCGAATAAATTAAACACTCGTAATGCAAGTCGAGTTTAAATTATGACATATATACATATACATATGAAAAGACTTATTATTCATGAACTGACATACATCAGGATACCACAGAGGGTTTCTATGGGTCCTAAATTGATTGCTTAGTGATTCAATGATTCTGAGGTTAGGAAATTTCCGAGAAGTCCTCTTAAAGGTCGTTTGGGAAGTCAACGAATCTCAAGTCAGATTCTGTTACAAATTAACACTAGTGAAAGAAACAGAGAAATTCAGGGAGTAATAGAGAGATTATTTACTTGCAGTTGTGCCTTTTAGCAGCACTCACCTACCACGTCATTAGGAGTCAAGCTTAGGAATGTTGTTTCCCCGTACCAAAATACGGTTAGAGATAAGATAAATGGATGAAACTGAATTAATTGAATATTAACTAAACAAACTGCCGGTGTACCTCCGGATGCTGGCGGTTTTTCAAGTTTTTTTTGAACGCATATGCATCAAAGAAGGCCTTTCACATCATTTTAAACTTCCTAAATGTGTTGATTCAGACGGATACGCAGAACCCCGTCAGTAGACGAATTTATTATTTCACCTTTTCCCTAAAATCATCTTTACCTGTATTCTGCATAAATATATTGCTCTTCCGAGCAAACTTCTGAGCAATTTCGTGTCTTGATTCATTTTTCAGTATCAGTACTTAGAATTTAGGTAGGCTGCTAATTGGATACTGGAGCACATTGAATTTAGTAAGGCTGGCAATTGTCGCGTAATAATAACACATGCAGTCCCTTACAGCTGTCTCATCCAACAAGTGGTTTAAACTCCATTGAGTTATATATATATATATGTAAACTTCATACTTAATATACTAGCAAAATAGTACCCTATATTCTAGTGGATATCCATCCTATTGACACTTAAGGCTAAAGTTGAATCAAGTATTTTAATGCCTTGTTTTTGTCACTGCATTTTATTTAATCCTAGCTTTAAATGATACTGATAGTAACCGTTAAAATTTACAAGTATATATTAACCTAGATAGCGCAAAACAGTAGTTTCAGATCTATAGGTGGAAAATCCCAAATGAAAGACACTGAGTAAAAGATATCTTCCTACAGTCTGTATCATTTTTATGTAACTATTGTAATTATTACACTTTTTTCCCTAGATTTTATATCATTAATTCGACATTTGCACATCACACGTGGATTTTTATGTATACCATTTGCTTCTGTCCTTGTTTTATCTTTAATTATAATACTTCTCTTTGTGTGAGTGTTGTGTACACTGACAAGGAGTTATTTAACAATATGAGTTTGTTTAAGTGAATGAAGGACATTCTGACCCGGGACTGCCTGCTTGGAGCGTTGATGTGTGATTCTTCTGGACAGAGCTCCTGATCCCACCTTGTTGGGGATATTCTCCTTGATTCTGATGAACATTTTACGTTTGAACTTTGGTTAACCAATTTTGTTTTACAGTACTTGTTTTGTATTTAGAAACTTGCACTGCCTGTGTAGCTGCCTCACAGTACTGTTAAGGCAAATTTGAGTTTCGGCTTTATTATTGTTTAGTAGAACTGCTAGAATATTGAAGAATAATCGTCTATTCCCTGCTTTTGGGACGTTTTATGATAGCGCGTGCCTCAGGGAAGCTTTGCCGACCATACAGTAGAACGTATAGATCGATTTCTTGCGTTCAGGCCATAACCGAATAAATTTGGTCTCTACAGATGGCACTTAAGAAATTTTGGAAAAATGTTTACGGTAACTCAACTGAATCGTGAAAAGTTGCATTCGTGCATTAAATAATTTGTAGAGAGGTGATTCACTGTCTTAAGCACTTGACTTGTGGTCGATTAGTTCAGGTTTCGAACCCCTTTATACTTACTTCGGCCTGGACAACTAGGTTGCATCATCCACCCTCACTCACTGAGGGTGACTCATATAGCCTAGTGCACGAAAAATGTAAGTGAGGTAATCAAATACAGAAATCTGTAAGCAATACATCTGGCGGAAATTATGGAATAACTAGATATTGACTAATTCATATTTTTGAAACAAGATATGTAAACAGTTGAAAAGCATGAGGATAAACTAAATGGGATACTTGATCAACTCTTAGTGAGAAGCACTAATTCTGTGCAGAGCAAAGTAACGTTATGCAACAGAAGAAGCATTCGCTGATGAAAAACTCCTTCTGGTGCTCGTTTTTCTTTGCTATGATGAATTTTCCAATGGAAATTAACCAAACTATCTTATCGTAGCTTTCTAGCAGTATCATATATGGCTCATGTATCCCAAATTTTTAAGACTTACTATGAATAAGGAGAAATCCATCAGCTTCACTGACTCCACCTTTGTGTTCTGCTTCACAAATATACTTTCCTGAGTCACTTTCCGTTGCAGTTCTTTTCAAAGATTTTTGGAAAACAGAAAAATAATAAACTCATAACTGTAACTGACAAAAGGGTTACTAGAAGTAACTTGAAAACACTGCATAGTAATCAAAATTTCACAGATATACTGCCTAACCCCAGTTCTTGCCTTTTATTTTCCGTGATAATTAAATATACATTATTTTCAGTCAAAATGAATGTGTTAAGAAGTGTGACGTTTTATTCATTCTCGGATAGTTGGAGATAATCGTTGGGAAGTCTTGCACTAGTTGAAGAAACATTATAAATCAGAGGGTCCTAGATTGGGAGATTTCTTTAACTGACGTCAGCTATTGATCTAACCTGAATTCACTGGAATCCCTGCAAAACAAAACTTAAAATCTGACCTACTGGTCACTAGCGACTGACTGCAGGATGGAGTACCTAAAGTTCTAGTTAGAAGTTGTCACAAGTTATATCCATCAAGATGCAGTGAGGACAACTACTTCCCTATAACACTGGCTGGCAATAGGGTTATATATCACGATTTAGTAGAAGTTAGAATTCATGGGCTATTGGATTACGTCCCAGGGGCTGAGTGGCCAACAGGCTCACCTCTTAACTTGAAGCTTCCGGATACAACCTCTGGTGGGTTCACGCATGCATACTGCCGAAGAATCCTGAACTGTAACACAACTGTCCAGTACTCCACAGTTTTGAACGGTTTTCTAATGGACATCAGTTTGTGGTCGAACTTGAAATTTTAAGGACTAACATTACAATATTCTAAAGACAAATTAACGATTTCTGCAGTCATATTTAAGCATTTCTCATCTATCACCTCTAAAACTCTCCAGTATAATCTATAATTTCCATCTGGCGTAGGATAATTATTAGAGACTCATACCAAATAAAAAAACTGTCAATCGAGAATAACACTAGCTCATTAAAAATCGTTTAAAGAATAGACTATGCGAATAATGCTGCCAAACAAAGGTCCTGAATAAGGTGATTCACTGTAACCCTAAAATTCCTTACGTCTAAAAACATTAGTAGTGTTTCCTATTTGAAAAAATTCACATAAAAGTTATTTTCAAAAGATATAAATAGTAAATAATAAATACACATTCAATTAACACCTATCTATAACTTTTTGAAACTTACCTTATTGTCAATGTACTTGTAAATGCGGATGCTAAACCACCTGGAGGATTATCCTGATTCAAACTAATTGTATGCCTTCGTCCATTTTTCAATTCGAATCTTGGTTCCAGACCTCGGTACCATTTAACTTCAACATTTTCATGCAGACTGAATATATTACAGATGAGTACAGCGTCTGTTCTCGGTTCAACACTTGCATTACGTGGTATTAGAACACGTGGAGGAGGAGCTGTAATAAGGAAAATGTGCTTGATAAATAAAGTAAATTCTTCATTTATGTCAAACGTTTCTGTTTGCTCGAAGTATAATCTATGCGCTGATTAAAGGCTCAAGCATGGCTTCCGGCAAACGCTATGACAACTGTGTTTACAAAAGTATAAACAAAGTGCATATGATCTTAGCAAATATGACGGTGGATTCAGCACATAGAACAGATATAATTGTAATTAACCGACTAATATAATTTGTAATATATCGCAACGTTAAAATAAGAATATAACTTGGGAACTGTAGTACAGTATAATTCCATCATAAAGAAAATTTCATAAATTTATTCCCCTTAATGAATTTGAACAAAGCAAGGACAGGAGTAAGACAAGGCCGCCTACTATAGCCAATGATTTTCCTGATTGCAGTAGACTGGATAATGCGACAAACAGTGGGCAATGAGGAAACAGGCATAAAATGGAATCACACAAAAAGCTTGGAGGATCTGGACTTCGCCGATGATATATGTGTGATTTCCCACAAACTGGAAGATATGCAAGTGAAAAGCAACAAGTTGGCAGAAGAAGCATCAAAGATAGGAGGGACTTCAGGTGAACATAGAGAAAACAGAGGTGATGAAGATTCCTGGACAAGAATAACAACAACAGACAACGAGGAGGAGGAGGAGGAACCTGAAAGAAACAACCTCCTTCACCTACCTACCTGGAAAGCATCGTTTCAACTACAGGCAGACGGAACTGACGAAGATATCAAAGCAAGAATCGGAAAAGCAAGACAAGCTTTCACTACTCTCAAGTCTGTGTGGAGGTCAACAGCACTCAGCATCAAAAATAAGATCCGGATTTTCAACTCCAATGTGAAGTCAGTGCTACTCACTATACGGATCAGAGACTTGCACTGCGCGTCATAAAGAGCATCTCAAACAAACTACAGACCTTCATTAACAGTTGTCTTCGCTCAATACCGCTCAAGATCAGATGGCCGGCCAGATAAGATCAGCAGTAGGGATCTATGGGAGCGAACGAACCAGGAACCGATTGTGAAACAAATAGGCAGAAAGAAATGGAGATGGACTGGTCATACTGTGAGGAAACAATCCATCAAGTGACATCACTAGACAAGCCATTGCTCGAGTGGAACCCGACTGAATGGGAAGCGGCGAGTTGGTCGTCAGTGCAAGGGTGACTTGGAGGAGGTCATGTTAACAGGAGATGGAAGCATGTGGGCAGACTTGGAGCCAGGTGAAGACTGTAGCAGAGAACCGAACGCAGTGGAGACGCACGGCTGAAGCCCTATGTTCCTCTAGGAATTAAAGGAAAAAAAAGAACTACAGTTTTTACAGAATAAAGTGGTACCATCTTTTATTTCGTTGCCTTCCTGTTTCCTAGTTGGAAAGTTCTGTGAGTGCCTTGATTTGATTATGGGGCAATAAATTGTGTTCGAAAGGTCATCAGTAAATAATACTGTATAACACTGTGAGACTTTATCAAATTAAATTTTGCTCTAAACGTTAACAGCAGAAAATTCCTATAATTTCCTAGTAACAATGCAAACCATTTCTCTATTATATGATGAAATATATATAATCATGGTTGACTTACCAACTTGCTAACACTGAGTTGTACATTCAAGACAAGAGGTGAGGAGTTGATGATAAATAACTAATCATTTGCATAATAGTGTGATGAGTTTAGGTTACGTCATAGAAACAGAAGAGGAACTAACTAAATTATGTTAAAGCAACTCTTCACTTCTTGTCTTGATTGTGCAACTCAATTTTCAATGTATCCGAACATTAATTTTGTATGTTTGTATTTTGTTTAAATTACAATAACTTATATTAGTGTAACTTCTGAGCATTATTTATTAATTATGTGTGTATGTCAAGATTTCTCTGTAGACGTAAATAATTAACTTTCAGGTTGTACGCAGCTGAAGAGAAACCAATTAAATAAATGACTGCATCAACTTATGCTTCACAGGCATTTGTTTTACGTTAACTTGTCTTTGTAGCAGGAAACATTACGTCTTGTAGAGCATTATTATATAAATTTCATTACCACTCATCTCTGCTCGTTGCATAGTAGGACAACAGTGTGTTTAATTGGAGTATACTTCTGAACGGAAACATGCGTAAAGAAGTAGTGCTTGCTTAACAGGTTGACGCATTAAGAATTTCTGAAACTTAAGTCGCTATGTTTGTCGAATAAGGCATTCGTATTATACTATCATCTTCCCAGGGTGACTTGACAAAGTCATCAACGTAGAATTCTGAGCATAACTGTGGCAGTTCAAGTTGTCACTGTTCGATATATTACACACAAAAGTAGTGGAAGTAAATGAAACGAAACTACAAGAGATATATGTATATATATGGAAGAAAAGGGTAAGTGAATAACGATCAGTGTGAATTTTCAGGAAATAGACAATAGTTGGAAGTGAAAACATTTGAATCACTTAAAAAAACAGTCTCCAACCATTGACTGTTAGCTTTCCTTGAACACTAGTCGAACAGTTTACACCCTGTACATGGATCAGACTAACAGTCACAGTCTCCATGAACTAATGTCATTTTTGTTCCATGATCTTTGGCTCATTTTCATAAGAACAAGTAACTGGCTACTGGTTTTTAAATTACTTAAACTGTAAAAGTAACTATAACCAGACTATAAATAGGATAGGCTGCAACTGGGTTATCCTTTAAGTATATTACCGATTACCGCTTAACTACTTAATTATATTAAGTAGTAAACATATCATAGTGAACAACTGGATGTATAGCCACTAGTCTTGACTTTTGTTGATTGAAAATTTTAGGGAAAAAAATCAAATGTCTAAAAAGCAATATGGGATTTATATTTGTTTCAAAAACAAAAATAAAAGGCTTACTATAATCTAATCGTGTCAACTTCTGTCTAGTTTCTCATTCACCCCATTCATTAATACTACCGTAGAATCCTTTTCATAACGACAGAATAAGGTCGACTGAACTATTCCCTCTTGGCTCCCTTAACCTTACTTTACAGTTATGTATAGTTTTTATAATACATTTTTAGTAAAAACAAAACTTTAAAAAATGGATGGAGCACTTGCTGGAAATTACACAACTTGTAGATCTCGCGAACAATCTTAAAATTTTTTAGAAACACGTGGAAGTTTACTAGGAAAATCTGAAATTGATTGCAAATACTCATTGTAGGTGAAAAACAGCTCGTACCCCGTTTGGAGTCAGCACAGTTTATCTCACCGTCCTTGTAACCTTGTTTTTTATTCACTAAGATATTAGAATACTTATCAATATATATCATCTAGCTTTGCTTATTCCACAACCATATAATTACTTAGCATGTAACTGCTGCATTTCACTGATGAGGTGTCGACTAACTGTTCTTCAGAAGTATGAGGGTGATATGATTTTTATAAGAAAATCCTTTTGCATTTCTCTACCAATACCCGGTTGTTCATATTTTGTTAATTCTATGTTCTAGTTACAATAGTCAACATTCACACTGCACATAAACAGACATGTCGACACAATAAAATTCACTATGGAAATAGAGAACGAAATTGGGGAACTGCCTGTTAGACTACAAAATACAAAGAGTAACAGATGGTAGCATTAAAAAAAGACGCTATATAGAAAAACTACACACTCTGGAAGATTCCTTGATTATCACTCAGCTCATCCACTCACGGTAAAACAAGGATTAATACAAGATCTTACAGATAGAATACGCAGATTTACAATAACACCAGGGGACCAGCGTAAAGAAATATATGTCTTTAATTGGTGGATGATGATTAGCAGTGGAATCCAGGATGCGCATTTCGTCCTGGTTGGGATTCATCACTGGATGTACCTACAATTCCCAGTCAGTGATGATGTTCCCACCGAGGCTCGAACCCAGTGCCCATAGTTTCAAATACCAAAGCGTTATCCACTAGACCACTTGCGCTACAAGATAGCCACCTCTTGTGCAACGGGTCATATTAATTTAATTGAATTTTACATTTTCCCGTCGATTGATTGGACCGAAGTGCTCGGTCTCAGGTTGACATGTTGGCTTCTTGTGAGGATGTTTCGACGATGTCTGGACATTTAATTGGAATTTAATTGGTGGATGGTGACTAGCAGCCGACATGTCAACCTGAGACCGAGCACTTTGGTCCAATCAATCGACGGGAAAATTTAAAATTCAATTGAATAAATGCCCTATTCAAAATAATACTCGACAACAACTACCCAAAAGAATTTATTAAAGATAATATAAAAAAGAGGGTAAAACTGGAGAATAACAAGACGGAAGAATGCAAACAAACAGTCACAATACCATACAAAAATGGTACATCAGAGGCAATTCGAAGAAACCTCAGAAATATTGGGATTCGCACGACGAATCTAATTAAAAATAAAATTAATCAACTGAAAGATCCCATAAAAATGATGGATAAAAACAATGTGATATACAAAATATCTTGTGCCGAGTGTCCGACTAAATATATGGGCCAAACGTTCAGATCACTCAAAATAAAAGTGAATGAACATAAAAGCCTAACTAAAGGTCAAAGAACAGGAACACAAGCTTACAAGAATTTAGAAAAAAATCATCTATAGCTGTACATGCATGGGACAAAAACCCCAATATCGATTGGAACAATGTTTGTATTCTAAATATGAACTAATATGAACAAATGGAAAGAGAGACTTTTAACAGAATCTATATTCATTAAGGTCACACCGGATACATGTAACAAGGGGTGACTCAGTACAACTGTCAACAACCTGGAATATAATTCTGAATATACAAAAATGAATGAACAAAAAATGAACTATGTATATGAGTACAAATCATAAATGTGTGAATTAAAAAACAAAACAATTCCAACAGTGGTGTGAACACGGACGGTAATTTTGCTCGAAATATTACCAACATCAAAACTTATCATTGTGTGTAAATCATTGAAATATAATTATACTTTATTTGATCTGGTCCAAAATGCTCAAACTTTTTACTGATATTAATTCATAAATGTATTAGAACTGCAGTAATTATTTGCATTTGCATAATACAACAATAGTACTGATGAAAACTTACGTAGTATAATGACGGATACTTCATCTTGATATTGCCCTTCAATCTTTTTCTCACCATCCGTAATTGTAGGTATAACTTCCACTGTATAAATCCCTTGGGATTCTTCATTTGCGTCAGTAATAGTGTACATAACACTAGTTGGAAAGCTTAAATAAAATGGATACAAATGAATATTATACTTCTAAGACAAGGGTCTTTAAAATTTCAAATAATGACACAGTTAATTTCAAAGCATATTTTTAATACTGAAAAAGAATGTGAAAAGGCTCTATCGACAAGCTTCCATTCTTCCAGGCTGCTTATCATATGTGTTCAGTGGTTTGAATAAAGAAACGGATAAGAAATTCATATTTTTAACTTAAAAATCCCACCCTTTATTCACCATTTTCCGGCCCACTCAGGTGTGAAGATATAGTGACTATCTGTGCCACTTCTGTGTACGTCTGAAATTCTGGCTATGCATAGCGAACAACCAGGCAACGTAGATGCACTTGCATCAAGCTGATGAATTTTCAGTAGGAAGAAAATAAGGAGCTTAATTATCGCTTTTAATTTACAATTGTCACCAATTATATAAGAGTAGAATTTCAACTCGTCTTTTTTGAGCATAGTCGAAGGTAAGTTGGTTAAACAATTGTTTCTCCTTTGACCCAGGAAAATTTAATAAATTATTTAAAACTTCCAGTTAATTTCGTATTCTTCACCGACCCTTTCATATATTTATCATATTCATTTAAATCTTCACCTTCAGTATTATGCAACTTCTAACTGCATAGGATTTCGACCTAATTTGACCACAATGAAACGTCCACATTATCAGACTATCTTCATTATACTCATCACCACCTGCGTCAGTTATTTGTATCACTGTTATCATTTATATTATTATTATTACTCATATTTTTACTATCACCATTGTCATTGCCACTCTAATTTATAGCACATCGTTGGTCAACAAATTACCGTCATCAATTATTATTTCATGCATATTTAAAGGCGTGTATATTACTATATAGCTTGAGGAATATTTAATTGAAAACGATATTATTCGCCTATATATCTTCTTTTAAAAATTCAGACAATAACTGTGAAAAGGAACAACTAATTAGCTACTAATGTAACAAGGTACATTCATCCCTTAAAGGAAGTTAAGGAAAATACACACTTAAAAGAATAGTTGAAATTCCATCGTAAATAAGCAGCAAGCAAAGTTATATTCCAAGGTTTATACTGAAGAATCTAATATATATATATATATATATATATATATATATATATCAGTTTCAACATCATACAGTGAATATTCCCCAAAATGTTGTTGGAAATTCTCCACCTTCATAGTTAGTAATATCACGGGGACATTAACAATTAACATTTCCATCCCGTTAGGATTCAATAAATATTTACTTCCAGGTTATGCTGACTCACTTGTACACTTTGTTCTCGTCAGGGTATCCTGTAATAGCTTGTTTATCTTTAAACCATTTAACCGTATACGGGATTTCACTTGTCACAGTGCATGATAATTCTGCTGTAGCTCCTCTTCTAACATCAACTTGAGCCGGGCATGTGACAACAATTTGTTGCGGTTGCCTAGATGATAACGCCACCTTAGAACAACGTTGGAATGGATAGCCTTGTCCATCTCTTCCAGATACCTGTGAAAATTAATAGGAAGAAACCATCTTTTATTAGATAAGTTGAAATCGTTTACCCCATTATTGAAGCAAAGACATGTTCTACTATTGTGAAATCGATGAGAGTTAACTTTGCATACTTTGATAGCATAAGACAACTCATAGATGGTTTGTTATTTGATATGAAACTATAACAAAATGTCATAGCAACTGAATTGTAGTTACAAGCAATTTGCTTCTCTTTCTGATGCGTACTACTGCCAGATGTTACTAGTCGGTAATGACTTACGATAATAACGTCTACTATCCAGATCCAAATGATATAAGAATATCAGACATTTTCACTTGTTTGGTTACCCATTTTAATTCAACCAGCAGTTTTAAATCGCTTTTAAGTGTTCAAGTGACTGAATTAGCTTACCTGCCTGGAATACTGACGCTACCTATAGTATCAAAACACTCATTTATTTTCACCTGAATGCTTTTGTTTTCTAAGTAGAACAGTGATGAAACTTCATCCTGTAATCTGCAGACAGGAAACGCTAAATGTGATTCCAAGTCATCTATGGTTCTTAATAATATGAACCTATTTTAGTTAAAGCTTAGCAATAATAAGAGATTATCTTATATTCCTTACTTTATCGTTCTGGAAGTAGATATGAGGAAACACCTATCAGAAATTTAATATTCGTACGTTGAAAATTACATGGACTCACTTGGAATGCTGTTTATAAACTGTCTGAGCTTGCCTTGTAACAGGAAAGGCATGGGTTCGAACCCAAGTGGGTGTGGACTCCCAATGAATTCCAAACTAGGACGAAACAGCTATCCAGTACTCCCTGCTGGTTTTCAATGGTTCTTTAACTGATATCAATCCGTAATAGAACTTGAAACAAATTAAATCCCTAAAAACTAACTCATGAAAATCGTTCCTTTATTTGTAAGGTCAAGATAGATAGACAAAGGACACACTATTAGTCAGTGTTTATTATGTTAGCTGTGAACTAATAATATTCATTCTTGACTTATGTCAAAAACTGCCTCATTTATATCTTTTTATTACATCGATGGTTAGTTAAACCAGTTTTTTTTACATTAAACTTTGCAGTTACTAGTTTTCTAAAGTGATCAGGTAAATATTTATACTTTCTTTAATTCACATTTTATCCTAAAAGAAAAAATTTTCCCGTCCCAGTCAACCTTTTGTGTCTTCTAAGTACTGTGGGAACAGTTTCTAAGTAATGACGTATATGTTGATGTGTGCTGAATTACTGTGGATGTATGGTAGTGGTCTTTCACTTCATAACCAGCAGAATTCCAGAATAAGGATTATCCCGTCATTTCGTTTAATTTGTTTTGTTTTTTGATGTTCACTTTGTCTAGTTTTCGCCAATGTTTTTATTTCTATGATAGATATCAACAGTTTTAAAAGCTTTAAGACAGCACAATAAATTATATGTACTATGTAGCTATTTTTAACCGATTATTTTGGAAGACTGTGTGGCAACAAAAACACTGGTACGACAAAATGCATACTACTTAAAAGCATAGGCTTATCAAAAGCTTGGAGATGTAATTGTAATTTTAATTATACCGGAATTACACTGTGTGTCGGTATTGCGGAGGTAGAATGCAACTCATATCTTCCGGGGTTCGACCCCCAACCGACCCACTCATAAACCTTGCTCAGCCGGTACTAATCCCGTAAAAATAAAACCGCTGCTACTGAGACTTTTAAGCTCCAGCTTGAAGCCCTATGTCCCACTCGAAAAGCAAAGGAACAAAAACTGTGTTACACCAATTTATTAGATTACCTACAATTTTTCACCTGAATATTGTTTCATAAACTTTCTAGTTTCTGGTTGTCTAGAAGTACTCTGTGATTATTATTAGCTGTACTTGTTTGTTTATTAGTGACCAGCAGTGTAATACAGAACGTAGATTCCCCCCCCCCCAACACTGAATTCATCAACAGGATGGATTAGAAGGTTTTAAAGTTCTTTTTTGAGACTGAAACCCAGTCTGTATAATTTTAAATAGTGGAATGTTATCAACTGGCTGTTAGAGTACGAAAAACACCATTAAGCACTAAAAATAGATGTGAAATTCAAGATGGTATCGAAGATTCACTTCGAGCAATTAGTATGTCAACATAAACTGATCAGTCTGAAGTAACAAAGTCGACCTCAGGAAACCAAAAGTTAAGGCAGATAACAACACGAAATATCTTTCTTTATTTTCGTCTTTCTCTTTCAGCACGATGAATTTCAAAAAACCTATTCACCCGAGTAGAACAGTAGTAAAAGCTACAAGTTTTCTCACATGTGCTTTTTCCTATGGCAGCATTTCGAGAACAATCAAACATATGTAAAATGTCATCTAGCTAATATCAAATTAATAATATTTCAATAATCCAACATCTGCCAATTAATGTGGGGTACAGGAGGTCGAATGTGAGGACAGAATACTCGCCGATAACATTGGCTAATGGTAGCGCTATGTCGTAAAATTGGCAGAAGTTGGAATTCATCAGCTGGCCTAATGGTCTACGAGCTTTCCTTGCAACCGGAAAGTGCTGGATTCGGACTTCGCTGGTTGCGTGCTCATAAAGAGCCCCAAACTATCAAGAAACAGCTGTCCAGTACTCCTAGGTTTTCCGATGGTTCTCTAACCGATTTTAGCTCATGATGAAATCCTGTAACCAATCAAATCAAATCCCTACAAACCAACACTTGAATAGTGTGGATCCGTTTGCTGATTGACCCTCAACTTTTATGTGGAAATCGTTCACCCTTTATTTTATAGTTTCGTTATGGTCAATATCTTGATAAGGAGTTTAATTTTCCTACTCAACACATATGTCGTCAAGGCGAAGCTAGTAACCTTTCACTAGTGTTTGTATTTTAGGTTTTTGGTTGCTGTTAAAATTGTGGCGGATTATATGAGGCTTATGTAACACTGATACCGAATTGAACTTCTAAAAAGATTTCCACCATATAAGACTCAATGAACTGTTAAAATTTGTCTCAGAATTGTTCAAAATATAGTACATGTTACTATAGCTGCCTACTGAGCACATTTTCATCAAATGATATGTTGATTATTTTGAAACTGTATTATCTGTGAATTTGTCTTTTATTCAAGCAAAATGGAAGGATATCTATCGTCTACATTCATTATTATGGTTTTGAATTTTTAAATCGAAGTTTCCTAAATGATAGTGTTATCTGAACCTAGTTAACCGCGCACGTCGACCAGTAGTGCTCGCTAGCCGACTCATAATGACCTCAACATCAGACGACCATCTTGCTTCATTGGAAAATAACACATAAGCGATGTACATGGCCCAAGTCTGACCAAAGAGTCGGACCATTTCAAACTACAAGAAATTCTGGTTAATAATAATAGTTGCCCTACTGCTTGACATCAGTGGTTCCCGAATTCTCATACCACTCAGTAGTATATATACTACAATGATTTTCTTGATTTTTCTCATTTTTGCTATCAAGAAGATCACGTTTTGTGATGTTATAACCTTAGGTTTACAAAGAAAACTGCGCTGAACTTTCATCTAAAACTGTATACCTGGAAAGCTGTAAATTCGATCATTCCCAAAATTTTCCTTCTGTTTGATATAAGAATAAAACTTGTGCACTGTGTTAGAATGTAATTCCATTATGGGTAAAATTTGTTTTGATAAAGTCTCACAGTGTTATACAGTAGTAATGTTTACTGATGACGTTTCGAGCACAATTTATTGCTACTCATAATCATATCATATTATATCTTTGTTCATCGAGTCTATACCCAACACATGCAATAGGAATGACTTATCACTCATACTGGAAATATGGAGAATACTACTACCAATCAAGTCAAGCGATAAAAAATAATGGAATTATATAGACGAGGATATCAAAGCAAGAATCGGAAAAGCAAGACAAGCTTTCACTACTCTCAAGTCTGTGTGGAGGTCAACACCACTCAGCATCAAAAATAAGATCCGGATTTTCAACTCCAATGTGAAGTCAGTGCTACTCACTATACGGATCAGAGACTTGCACTGCGCGTCATAAAGAGCATCTCAAACAAACTACAGACCTTCATCAACAACTGTCTTCGCTCACTACCCCGCTCAAGATCAGATGGCCAGAAAAAATCAGCAACAGGGATCTCTGGGATTGAACCAACACAGCAGGAACCAATTGTTAAACAAATAAGCAGTAAGAAATGGAGATGGATTGGCCATACTCTGAGGAAACAATCCATCAAGTGACATCACTAGACAAGCCATTGCTCGAGTGGAACCCGACTGAATGGGAAGCGGCGAGTTGGTCGTCAGTGCGAGGTTGGGTGACTTGGAGGAGGTCATGTGAAGAGGAGATGAAAGCGTGTGGGCAGACATGGAGCCAGGTGAAGACTCTGGCAGAGAAGCGAACGCAATGGAGACGCATGGCTGAAGCCCTATGTTCCTCTTGGAATTAAAGGAAACAATAATAATAATAACAGACTAAGTTAGAAAGTTGTGTGAGTACCTTGATATGATTACGAGTGGCAATAAATTGTGCTCGAAACGTCATCAATAAACATTACTACTGTATAACACTGTGAGAAATTTATCAAAACAAATTTTCCCTCTGTTTAATATTAATGTGCAAGAAATTTGTTCCTGAACAAATAACAGTCATAACTAATAATAATAATGATAATAAATTTTCTTTCGTAAAACAAAATCTAGGAGAAATGTACAAGAAAATGAACGTTGTAAAAAAAGCAATCTATTACATGTATGTACTACTTTTAAGAAAGTTCTAATAAAAACCCAACTAGTTAAACAAAAATTATGAGAATAACAACCTACTTCAAGGTAATAATGTCCGGTAATTGGGTCCATTGCTTGTTGACTAACGTAAATTTGTGTTTTCGCAGTTTGTTGTACAGGCAGCCGGACAACTGACGCACCATTTGGAGCTCTCATATCAAAATGATCAACTTGTCCTGGTAAAAATCTTCCAGTCATATTAACCATAATGTAATTTTGAACACCTAAATAAGATATTACAAATGGAAACTTTCTGTTGACTTATCTGTGTGATTGGTATTCGGAATTAGTGTACACTTTCAATGAATATCGCAATGTGAATTAAGCATTATTAAGTATGCTTAATAAAAAGATCTACCTAATCTTTTGTGTGGAATAATATTCGTTCCGTTTTAGGGTAGGATTGCTATGTCTTGAGAAGATATCTAGCCACCAGAGACGTATCTTAAAATATTCAAGAGTAGACCAGCCAATGGCAGATTCTTCGATCAATCTTGAGTATACAAACGGCATAGAAATGTTTTAGTATAGCATCTAAACCACTTTGCCTTTTGGTTACTGGATGTCATCATGAGCTGACATCGGTTACAAAACCATTGGAAAACCTGGGAGTACTGGTTTTGAAAGCAATTAAAGTATTCGTTACGTATATTGCCTTAGACAATCAAGGATATAAAGAATGAGTTTGGGCATATGACAGCTGGATTATGTTAAAGTCACAAATTGAACCACTCTCAATAGAAATAATACTCTTATGACCGCACATAATCCTTAAAAAGACTTGAAAGGCAAATGTAAAGCTTCTGAGTACTTTCTTGATCTGTCTTAGGATTTATGAGCTCTGTGGATCTGATCTATAAGTGGCGAGACTTTGTAAATGTAAGCATATCTGTTTCCTCAATCCGCTTTTATTTTTTCAGCCAACAGTATATCGTTTTTATAAGGATTTACAATGAATTATCACAAACTGTTCTTTCTGGTTCAGTATTGTTTTGTCTGTAAGGTTCAATTCAAACATTTATTCCCCTTTGTGGTCTTCAACAAAGCAAGGTATACTATCATCTATTTCTTCGGCTTCTCATCAGCTGAGTAGAGCCCAAAGAAATTATTAAGTTTATGTATACAACAATCTTAATATCTTTACAAATGTTACACGACATCAGCTGACAGGAGACTCCAAACTTAATAAGCAGTGCTCAAAAACTACACCTGAATAACCTTATACACAGAAAGTTCAAGTTTAAATAAAAAAGGGGCAGTTTTCAGTCTTTCCTTGCCCTGGTATCTCAATGTCTTTACTCTATCTCTCTTACTTGACTACGCAATCTCTGGCTTTAATTTCTCCTCCCATCCCCTTCATTATATAGTGTAACAGTGCCTCTTCCCTTGTTTCTATGATTTCTGCCGAATTCACCACATTGGTACTCAGCTCCTTATTTACTCATTATCTTGTTCACCTATTGTCTTTGTTACCCAGCCCTTCCCATTGTATCCAAATATTTGTTTAAATTTGAACTTGTTGTGTATAAGCTACATAGGTGTAATTTCTGAGCACTGTCATTTATGTTTGGAGGGTCCTGTTAACTAATATTAGGTAACACTTGAAAATTTTTTAAAATCGTTCTGTACATAAACTTAATAATTTCTTTAAACTGTCTGCAGCTTTTGAGAAGTTAACGAAATAAATGATGCTGGCATCTTATTACGTACAAACCGTTGTTCTTACTTTATAAAATTTACATTTCTTGAAATGTAAACGAAAATGTTTCCTATATTATATATACTCAGTTTTTCAGCGAATAATTATCCAATTTAACATAATAACGGAAAAAGTTACTGGACGAGATATCATCAGTAAATTGCATCATATATAAACTGTCTGTAAATGCAGACCTATGAATTGATCAATGTCTATTGGTCACTCAGTTGTCGTACAAAATGATGCACTGTAGTATGATGGTAGGTGTAAGGCGAAGTCATTTAATTTCTGAAATCTAAAGAAATGATTGGTAAATCTCTGAATTGGGAACTGGGTCAGAGAAATACTAAGCCCTAATGGAATGTAAGCATCCTCAGGATTTAAGACGTGGTGTGCTAATGAGTATTAACAAGCAGGTAGTGTACAATTACTTGCCATCATATGTAAATATATATATATAAATATTAGACTTACCTGCTATTGGTTGTGTTGATGCTCCATGGTTATGCAATCTTGGTGTTGTCGAAAATCCCTGAAGAAAGTCGACATCACTTATACCAGAAACCCGAACAGAAATCCACCGTTCAGATTGTTTACTCTCATCTGGCTCATCTAAATCAGCCTCTTCTGGTTCTGTGCCCACTTCTAAAGTCCACTGACCAGCCTTAGGTCGATCAATTGAACCAACAAACACAGACTTAACAGCTTTCATCAGTTGTTTGAGACCATCTTCCTTGCCGATTAGCTTACCTGATTAAAATGAATGAAAACGTGTCAAAATATTAAGGTTGTGGGTAAAACTGCTTAAGATAAATCTAATTTAGTAAACTGGTGTAAAACTAATGGGATATTGACTGAATTTGAAAAGGAAATATTCGAGGTAGTAACATCCTACTTCGTCCCAGATATTCGTTTTCATCTTATTCATCATTTCATCATATAACTAAAATGTCGAGATTGAAAAATTGAGGCATGCAAATATTTGAGTATTATAATTTTATGATAAAAATCACTAAAAAAAATTCAAAAACTTCCTTTGGGAACCTGCTGACCCATGATCGCGTCAAAAATTCAGAAAATAAAGTCAAAACAATTAGGAAGTCATATATTTATTAACTGTAAGCAGATTTTGTTTCTTTTCTGCAACTTATAAACCTCATTAAGGTTACTTCTTATGCTATTCAAAGACAATAGAAGTTGGATATCGTTTTGATGTTTGTTTTAGATCTTAAGTATATCCATTTGATAATTTGCCAGTTGGAATCTGGAAAATACTCTGTGGATTGCACCAAACTTCTCAGTTAAATATACATGTGTCGGATTACATATGTATACTCTTAGTAAGAAATCAACTCAGCATGGCTTTAAGCCGCACAACATTTTGATCTAGTTACTGCGTTGAAAAAATTTACCTCTTTGCTAACTGTCATACATTTCTCAGAGTTAGTCTGTAGGGATTTGGTTTGATTTAAGTTTGACCACGGATTTATATCAGTTAGAGAACCACTGAAAGCAAACAGGCAGTACTGGACAGCTGTTTTGTCCTAGTTTGGGACTAATGGGCTTTACGCGCTCACTGGGGTTCGAACCCGAGGTCTTCCGGTTACAAGGCAAGCCACTGGAACCCCACTCAGTGGCCCATAAAATTTAACTTCTATTTACCAATTCGTGACCCACCCAGTCACGAGTGAGGACAGATACTCGCCAGTGACATTGGCTGGTATTCGCCCTAGAATCAGCAATCGGTGGAAGTTGGGATTCATGCGCTGGCCACTGAATGGTGTCCCAGTGATTGAGCTTATAAGCAAAGGTTCCTGAGTGTGAATCCCAGTGGGTGCGAACAGCTGAGTTCTAAACTAGGACACCAAGAAAGACATAGAGCTCAAATAGCATTTTTTCTGATTTATGCATAATTCTTACGATGATTCTGTAGTTAATCATACGGAATTTTCCCATCATATCGTTATTTCATAACAAACGAGCTATTCCAGCAGAAATATAACCAACATAACTAGAGTTAAAATATCGCTTCTGTCAACCTATTCGCGTCGGTGGCACAGCGGTCAGGACGCTCGCCAACCATGCACATGGTCTGGGGTTCGATCCCCGGCCGACGTACCCCTTTACCTCGCTAAGCCAGTATTAAAAAAAGCTTGTGAAGAGGAAAGGTTGGGCATGAGGTTAGCAACCTCATCCTGTAAAAATAAACACTGCTACAGAAACTTCCAGTCACTATCTTGAAGCCCTATGTTCCACCCGGAACGTGAAGGATTAAAAAAAATCAACCTATTCATATGCAAGAATTTGTAAGAATAAATCACATTGATTTTCCTTATATTAAAGCTTCAGTAACTTACAACAAATCTTATTAAAAAATTATTTTTTTTTCCATTTACCTTCAGGATTACGTATTTTTACATGAATTGCCTGATTTCTATGATGATTTGTAACATGAATAGTTAACTGGGTAAGATGAGAGTCCACAGGGAAACTGTAGGTCTTGGCATCGGTATTCAGTGTATCTTGTTGCAGAATATGCACTTTTCTTGCTTCAACTGCTGCTTCAACCACTTGCATAAACTATATTGAAAAGTAAGCAGTTTTATTATAAAATTCTATTTAAGTAATAAAAAAATCTTCTGATATAAGAAAATATGATATTTCAATTTTTAGTTTTATGAAAGTCTGATTGATTCCAAGGTTGTTTTCGTCACTAAAACATCATCATTTTGGATGGCAGTGTCACTAAGTCATGAAGTCAGTAGGATTCAGTGACTGTGCAGTCACTCTGGAACCTAAATTCTAGGGTTTAGTCCCTCAAGAGCGGAAAGTTTAAACTGTTAGAGACTCCTGAGCTCCTGAGTTTGCCAAAAAGAGTAATTCTTCGAACGCCTTTTCTTTTGTATGACTCAATGGGAATTTTTAAGTTGCTTAAACGTTGCAAGGTTCCGGTGATGGTGGGGGAGCTGGAAAGTTTCCTGAGTTACTCCGACAATCTAACAGAAATCTTTTTATTTTTTTTGATTACAGCTTGATGCCACACCGTATTTTCAGTACAAGTATGACATTTTCAGCATGGATATCGGTAGCCCAAATTTTGCAGGCCGAGCACAGATATCGAGTGTGTGTCGGCAGGGGATCGAACCCCGGACCATATGCATGATCGGCGAGAGTCCTAACCACTGTGCCACCGACGCACAGTTCTTAATAGAATGTTTAGACGACATGAATATCCAAAGACTATCTGGAAGTCACTCAGACGCAATCATACCCATCCCAATACCAGAAAACTCAAGCGACACACACTAAACAACACTGACTCCGTCCAATCACGTGTCCTTGAACTAGAGTGAAACGTCGATTTACGAGTTCATGCAGTCTATGATTTCGATCAAGAACTACGACAATCCCTTGAAGAATATATCCAAGAAGTAACACAGAAACAATGTGATAAGATCAAGTCAAATCTATTTAAAATCCTAAAGTTGATGAGCAATACAGAACGCCCATTTCCAAACAAACCGGAAAAATACGTATTTAATCTCTCAAACATCAAACTGTCAACACTTCAAATAAAAGCACTATCCTTCAGTCCAAAATTCTGCTCGGAACCATTAAGCATATAGAAGCTTCAATCCCAGGTTCTGTTTGGAAACCTGATAAATCAAACACATGATCTGTTACCAACATCTGAAGAGGACCTGCAACTATTCAAATCATCCGTCCTTGACAGCTGCCTTAAGTTTATAAATGCTAAACCAAGTGGGAGGTCGGTATTAACCAAGAAGCACTATAAAGAGCTCAGGGAATTAATAAACGACAAAGAGATCTTTCTGATACGCCCTGATAAAGGTAGGGGAATCGTAGTTATGAATTGTGAAGACCACAAAAGTAAAATGCTGACCATCCTATACGACGAGCCCAAATTCGCAAAACCAACCAATGAAAAGAACATGACGGAGCAAACTGAACAAACACTAACAGATATTCTGCGAAAATTAAAAACTGAATCATTCATGGACATTAAAACCTTCGAATCGTTAAGGCAGCCTGGCTCAAATACATCCCGACTTTATGGATTACCGAAAGTGCACAAGATAGATAAACCTATTCGACCCATTCTCGATATGACTAATTCACCTTATCATCGCACTACCCAATGGCTATCAGTCCTACTAGAACCAGTAAGAAGGCAAATTTCCTGCCACTCACTCCAAGATTCCGTCGCCTCTGTCAATTCCACTGAAACCATGTTCTCACTAAATGTGATATCATTGTTTACAAACGTCCCATTAACTGAAAAAATATGCTATATATGTGAAAATATTGATTCAAAGGAGATGAACATTGGTATACCCGTTGAATATTTGAACGAGCTCCTCTTAAATGCACCCTAAAAGTCCAGTTCTCTTTCAATAACGAAATATATGGACAGAAAGATTATATAGCTATTAGTTCATCAATTGGCCCGTCGCCTGGGGACTTATCCATGTCAAACTAGAAAACAAACATCTAATGAAAATGGTTAACAACTTTAGGTTTTACAAGAGATACGTGGACTACACCTTCATTATCTCCAACAATGGGGAGAATTTAGATAACATCTGGGACTTCTTCAATAGCTGCCATCCAGCAATTCATTTCACACTAGAGAAGGAATCCGACACAAATATATCTTTTCTGGACGTTCAAATAGCAAGACGTGAACAAGATGGAACACTAAAACGATCCATCTAAAGAAAGCTGACATGGAACAGATAACTTACTAACTTTCATAGTTCAGTGTCCCTAAATACAAAAAAACTTGATTCCTTCACTGAGTCACAAAATCCGCAGCATTTACAGCCCAGATACTATGGAAGAGGAGTTAAACAGTATAAAGAGAATCCTCCTCGAAAATGGCTGCTCAGGAAGTTTCATCACAAAATCTATGAAACCCAAACCACCAAAACCGCCCACTCTCTCTCTTCTCCCGAAAAACGACTGCACCTGGACTTACAGTTCCATGGAGACTCATCAGCAAAAATAATGAGAAACCGCCTGTTCCACTCACTGAAGAAAACCTTCTTCGCGGCTGAACGCCAACTAATCTTCTCTACGAGACCGATGATTCGCATGAACGTGAAGGATAAGCTACCACTGTTGGCCACATCAATGTGCATCTACCAATTCACTTGCTCAAATGGAGCTACGTTTGTCGGCCGTACCCAGCGTTTGCTGTCCAAACGTATCATCAAATACTTATCCTCATGGTTTTATAAAGGAGAAAAAAGACCACCTTTCAGGTGTACACTGGAACACCCCATAGAATCGAGACACCAAGCATGCCCACAAAGTAACTTCAAAGTCATCTACAGAATACGTGGAAATCTTGCTAAAAGAGTACGAATCAAATTTCTTCAAACTGCAGAACCAATGGCAATGCACATATTAAAATTTGAACCCTGAATCCAACAGAAGTTTGTTCAGTCATTTAATCTGCCGTGAACGTGGCCTGAATTAACACCAAATAAGCAAATTTGCTTCGTCTTTGTTTGCTTGCTTGTTTCTTGATAGTATAATATTTTCTCCCCCTACCCCTTATTGAACCTCTACGCCTTATTACCACTATTGTTAACTTGACTTTTATTTAATTTTAATGTTAGCTGAGCTCTACTCCACCCCGTCAATTAGATTATTATTATTATTTCCTTTAATTCCTAGAGGAACATAGAGCTTCAACCGTGCGTCTCTATTGCGTTCGGTTCTCTGCTAGAGTCTTCACCTGGCTCCAAGTCTGCCCACACGTTTTCATCTCCTCTTCACATGACCTCCTCCAAGTCACCCTTGCACTGACGACCAACTCGCTGCTTCCCTTTCGGGTTCAACTCGAGCAATGGCTTGTCTAGTGATGTCACTTCATCGTTTCCTCAGAGTATGGCCAATCCATCTCCATTTCTTCCTGCTTATTTGTTTCACAATCGGTTCCTGCTGCGTTGGTTCGCTCATTGCCAGAGATCTCTGTTGCTAATCGTTTCTGGCCATCTGATCTTGAGTATTGAGCGAAGATAACTGTTAATGAAGGTCTGTAGTTTGTTTGAGATGCTCTTTATGACGCGCAGTGCAAGTCTCTGATTCGTATAGTAGCAGTGACTGACTTCACATTGGAGTTGAAAATCCGGATCTTATCTTCGTTTTGATGCTGAGTGGTGTTGACCTACACACAGACTTGAGAGTAGTGAAAGCTTGTCTTGCCTTCCCGATCCTCGCTGCTTTGATATCCTCGTTAGTTCCGTCGGCCTGTAGTTGAAACGATGCATCCCGGTCGGTAGGTAAAGCATGTTGTTTCTTTCAGGTTCCTCCCATTTATGCTGATTGTTGTCAGTTGTTGTTGTTACTGTTGGTGGTGTTGCCCAGCAATTTTCACCACCTCTGTTTTATCTATGTTCACCTGGAGTCCTATCTTTGATGCTTCTCCTGCTAACTTGTTGCTTTTCGCTTGCATATCTTCCAGTTTGTGGGAAATCAGACATATATCATCGGCGAAGTCCAGATCCTCCAAGTTTTTGTGTGTGTCCATTTTATGCCTGTTTCCTCATTGCCCACTGTTTGTCGCATTATCCAGTCTATTGCAATCAGGAAAATCATCGGCGATAGTAGGCAGCCAGCTTGTCTTACTTCTGTCCTCACTTCAAAGGACTCCGTAAGTTTCCCGTTGTGGATTACTTGGCATGCAGCATTGTCGTACAGCTTTCGGATGATATGTATAATTGTCGGTGGCACTCCGTAGTAGCGAAGTAGTTTCCAAATCACCTCTCGATCGACGCTGTCTGCTGAAGGCCTTTTCAAAGTCGATGAAGTTGAGATAGAGCGCTGACTGCCATTCCAAACTTTGTTCAATGATGATCCGTAGTGTGGCGATTTGATCAATACATGACTTGTTTCTCCTGAATCCAGCTTGTTCTGGTCGAAGTTTTTCATCCAGGGCTTGTTTGATCCTTTCCAGGATGATGCGGCTGTCAATTAGATTACCTCACCCAACTTGCTTACTTAATCTTATTTTAGTTTCTAACCCATTAACGAAATTTAATATCTAAAATTTACAATTCTAATGACATATCTTTGAAATATTCATTTTGTTGCTAAAATAATTAACTGTATGTATGCAGTTGTACTTCTTGAGAATGACATCGCCTAAAGCAGTAAATCTTCCTTGAACTCCTTTTCTTTGATTCTTATTACTTTTCCAGTTAAATCAAGTTTCTGATGAAATTCATTTTGAAGTCCTCTACGTCTTATTCAGTTCCTCGTACATGCAGGGAAGAACAAAGAAGTTAAGAACTTTAGAATATCTTGGAGAAGTGTATACCTCTTCGCTTCATCGCTTCACTCTAAAGCCATGAGTTAAAAAGTGTAAGCTACTTTTACAGGCTTTATATTTAGTGCTTTTGGCTGAGAAACCTAATCTGACAGACTGAATGAAATTTTAACTGATAACCACAACATTTATTTATTAATACCCACAAATAATGTAATTAGTGTCTTCTAATTTTTAACCTTCATTAATCCGAAGAAAGAGGTTATTTCAACCCAGGTGGTTTTAAAGGCTTATTGTAGACATAAGTGTATTTATGTGAATGCCGCACTTAGAAAGAAATCGTAAAAAATATATAATAGTCATAGGAAAATATCATGTCTTCATTAACACAACATTTTCTGGATTAAGAGTGCAAATGCAGTTATGATTTCTCTGATGTTCATAAAAGTTTACATTCCGCTTCACCTAATTCAATATCATCACGAGCTAATATTACTGCTGTTTGAACTTTAGTGAAGCATCAAAATCTCTCTGCAAAGATTTTGGCTACTAAATGCATTCATGGTATGAGTTTATCCGTTTAAAATATCATGAAACGTTCGTTAACGCCAAAATGAAGGTTACAGAATAACTAATTTTGAAAATTAGGTGGTGTTTGAATAATCTAGGATTATGAACAAAATTCTTATTTTGCCAGTAGCATAAAATACATTTAACTGTTACTTTTTTGATAAAAAAAATCTCTTTAAATGCTTTCCTAAAGGAGATTTAAGTTTACCGAAAATATCTCCTCAACTTATTACAGAAGCTCGATGCACTATTTATTTCCAATTATCAAGAATATAGTGAGATAATAATAGATCTTGGGTACTACGGTAGAGTATAACTGCACTATAGAGTGTATTTTTACTGTGTGTGAATTTATCAAATAAATTTACTCTGTAATGGAATTCCGACGATATTGTATTGTGACATTCACTCAGAGTCTTAAAGTAATGAGTTATCTAAAACATAGTTGAAAACCTTGTTTCCCTATTTCTTGAGTTAAATCCTACAGCGTCTATATACATAAATTAGTGAATATAACAAAAATTGGATTCCTCTGTGTGTGATGGATTGTTGAAGTAATCGCCCAGAAGAGATGTTTTTTCAACCAAACAAACTAACATCAATCGCTCTAGTAGTCAGTCTTGTTTAAATAGTCAGTTACAGTTGGTGATCACATTAGAGAGCATAGTTTTCGAATTTCAAATAGCACAAGAGACAGAAAGTTTCGACGGTGTTGCGTTCTCCCAACTGAGTGGGTTTAATCATGAAGATACGGTCGATATCCTAAGTAGAATTGTTACCATTAACTTTAGAAGAAAGTGGGCTTAGTGAATCTCCTCACAAGTACTTTAGTAACTCGTCCTATTGAACGTGAAGGCAACTGATTATTTCGGCAATTTCACTATCCTCATCTCTGCTTGTATTTCCATTGACAGTTCTGTAACATATTCATTTCATTTGTTTCTGATTGATCCATAGACGAGATCAACGGCTGATCTGAACGTCAAATTTCGATTGCCACATTCTGAATGTTTCCTTTATTCAAGAATTTACATTTTACAAACTGAATTCATGTGAAGCATATTTTTTTATTCATATGCACTGATCTGAGTGCATTTTCGTTACGTCGCTTAACTGCTAATTCATTCATGTTTTAAACAACCTCACAATAGAAGGCATTTTCAAAAACTTTACAAAAGAAGAGTAACTGACGAAATTCAAATCAATTCAAAATCAAATTCATTTTCAACTTACTTCATTAACTTGTCCTTTGCCAATAATGTAAAGTTGACCTGAACTCACAGTAGCAATTTGACGGTATGCTTCAAATCCTGGTTCATCAGTTGTGTTACAGAATCCAGTTAGGACAAATACAACCTTTAAAAATATTTAAAACAGTACTGATAGGAAATAAGAAGAATAAGTGGAAGTGACTGCTTAGGTTAAAAAATAGTCTGATAAAATTTCTACTGTTAAAAAGGCTTTCAGTGATAGTTGTCATCATTGCTTTTGAGTACAAATAGACTAATAAACAACATAGGTAGTCATCAACTGTCCAGTGTACTGCTAGTCAGATTAAACGTGTACAAGTATTATGTAGCCAGTCATGTCGTTTCGGTTACAGATGGTTTGTATTCATCCCGACGAAATTTCTTTCTAACAACTATGACAGTACGACTGCATTACTCATGGACTCTTCATGATTTAAACTACCACTAAACATATAAATGATTTTTATTCATATAATTCACTTCAGTAGTGTGTTGCACTAGTTCATAACCTTTCCACATAAGAGTTTTTTTCTTAAATGTACATAGCATGTGTGATGGGTGTAAACCGACAACTGTATACGACTTCTGGCAAAGGTGTTAGCGTAATGAATGAAGTTTCTCAGGAAAGCGGCTATTGTTAGTTGTAAACAGCTGAGACGTGATAAATGTTCATGTAGGGCATAACGTTTGTAAATAATTTTCTAATATCGATCGGAAACTGTTAGTACTAAATAGGTCAGTAAAGTTGTTTTGTTTTCAGATTGACGAAATACAAGCCTTTGAATGTTTTAACTGGTGTCCAAACCTGAATACACTTCAATTATCAAAGGAAGTTGGAAAGTAGACTTGAGGTTTCAGAGTAAAAATATTAATTTCATGAAACACATGCGATGTTCAACATAACGCTTAAGAATCAGATACCTGAATAAATCATTCGTATTACTGCACACATAAGTTGTATAAGAAATTTTAACATTATATATGAAAGTGGAGTATAATACTATCAAGTATTTTAAGAAAGTGCCTGATTTCCAATAGTTTAACATAGTGACTGGTTTAACTAATCATCACGACCCATAACTTATGGTTAGATATACTTTTACCGGGAGCCCACTTACTATTAAGTCTTCTGAAAAGAAAACATTCTTATAAAGAACAAAATCACTACTTAATGTTGTTAAAGCTTCACAAAGTAGTGGTAATGGCCATCTGACTGTCCCAATTTATCTACTAAACAATATCATTTCATTTTCCACTAGCACTTCGATTAGCATGTTTTTCTTATACACTTTTATTTGATACTGTCAACTTTCCGTGAAAAGTAGCTAACATACAAAGAGAAATATCTCAGGGACATGAAGCAAAGTATTGAAGTTGTTTGGGTTTGTTGGTGGTTCAATGATAAGTGGCTTATGGGAGGTCCAGGTTCAATTCCTGGCTAACATGCTTAGAAACGCTACCTAGTCCACGATCTAATAATAAGCTCAGGATAGAGGAGACATTTAGCTTGAGGCCAACAACCATACCCTGTAGAAATAGCACCATCACTACTGAAACTTTAAATCTAGAAGCCCTATACTCAACTTGGAATACATGGAATAAAATAAAAGTCTTTATTTTAAAAATATTATTTCTAGAAACTTGTTTTAATTTATTTCAAACCACTCAGCTATTTAGAATTACACAGTTCAAGGCTGAAATTCACTTTTTTATCTTTCCTAAACCCAAAATATCTCATCTGCATTATGCCATAAAAGCAAGCGACGTGACAAGATGGTATACACTACCGCTACCACCCCAAATGAGTAGTTAGAAACGAATCATATCAAACAAAGCTGCTTGCTAAACAGATCAAAGTAACTTAAACAGCGTTTTGGACTGAAATCACCCGATATTCATCCGGTTCGAAGTAGTTCAGAGATCTGAATTATTTCAAGTCACTGGAATTCTAAGGCCAATCTTGGGTGATTTCCACCATGCAGCTGACAAGAATTTGCCTGATTTGACTCCGTAAGCTGATTCACTCCAAGTATTCGACTGAAGAGCAAGACTTCAGACGAGCGAAACAGCTTTCTGGTGCTTGGATCACTTCAATCAAGCAAGTAAGTGGTACTGGTTAACATCGGTGGTTTCTAACTACCTGTATCTAACTCCTGTTCGTAACGTTATTCTGCATCCTAGACAGTGTTAAAGTTTTGTTTGTGCCTGGGGATTTCGGTGACAGAAATACTCAACTATGTGGATGCCATACTGAAATTAAATATGAAAAACAGAGTTCCAAATATTTGAAAGAACAACAACACATTCGAAACAACATGTTGCTTATTTTGATAGCCTTCAAATGATAGTATCAAAATTTTGACTATATGGATAAATTCATCCACTTTATTTCCTAGATGTGTACTGCTCTAAGAGTATACCATATTTATTTGAGTATCGGATGTTTTGCTTCCTGCACAGAAAAACACGCATTTCACTTAAAAGTGCCTCTCTGTCATCATCATCAGTCCCTTGACTTTCGTCGTGGGGGTGCTATGACAGTTCGCGCTATCAGTCTTCGCCATTCTTCTCGGTTTAATGCTATTTTCTGTAGCGTATCCAAGGGCATTTCAGTCCACTCTTTTATGTTGTCAAGCCAGCTCTTATTCGGTCGACCTCTCTTTCGTGCTCCTCCTACTGTGCCTTGTAGAATCGTTTTGGACAATGTGTCATGTCTTACCGTGTGGCCGAACCATTGTAGTTTCCGTTTCTTTACGATTGAAAGGAGTGGTTCCTGTTTTCCTGCCAGTCTATGGACCTGGTGTAAGACATATTCATTAGTTTTCCTTTCAAGGTAACTTATTCCTAGGATCCTTCTATAGCTTTTGTTTTCGAAGGCTTGTATTCTTCTTTCTGTCTCTGCATTCAGGGTCCAGCTCTCACATCCATATAGGAATACAGAGAGGACCAGTGACGAGTAGAGTTTCATTTTTGCTGAGACGCTGATGTTGCTCTTCCATATTTTCCCTAACTTGGACATGGTGGCAGAGGCTAGGTTTAGTCGAATTTTTATTTCCTTATTGGACCTTCCATCTTTTGTTAGGGTAGACCCAAGGTATTTGAAAGTTTCAACCTCTTCTAATACATGTCCATCAAGTCTGATACATCTATCTGAGTTGTTTCCTCCGTTAATGAGTATTTTGCTTTTTTCTGTGCTGATTTCCATGCCCACAGATTTGGTTGCAACATCAAGTCTTGAGGTGAGGTCCTGAACTTGATCAATGTTTTCCCCAATGAGGGCTATATCATCAGCAAATCTGAGGTTGGAAATTGGTCTTCCGTTTATGCTAAGTGTCGGTGTAAAGTCATGTAGGGTTTGTGTCATAATATGTTCGAGGAATAAATTAAAGAGGACTGGTGAGAGAATGCACCCTTGGCGTACTCCTATAGTTGTTCTGAAGAACTCGCCAGTTTGATTATTTAGAGATACTGCACTACTAGATTTGTTATATAAAGACTTAATAACCTCAATTATGTTTTTATCTATATTGTAGTTATTCATGACTTGCCATAAGCCTTCGTGCCACACACGGTCAAAGGCCTTCTTAAAATCGATAAAGTTGTGTACTAGCATTTTTTGGTGTTGTAGACATTTTTCGTTTAGTACCCTTATGTTAAAAATTTGTTCAGCAGTGCTTCTGCCCGGCCTGAATCCGGCCTGTTCTTCAGGCCGTCAAAACATTAAAAAAAAAAAACATTGACTAATATGATATAAATGACATAATTAGCTTAAAAATCCTAGCTGTATACGCATAGTTATTTGGTGTATGGTGGTTAGCGGTGGAATCCAGGATGGGAGTTTCATCCCATTTAGGACTCATCATCTGGATGTACTTTTATTCATTTAGTAAGTGTTCATGTTCCCACTGAGGATCGAACGCAGTATCCATCATGTCAAACGCGAAAGCATTACCCACTAGACCAAATGGGCCACGATAGCCACATCTCGTGCAACGGGTGTCAGTGACTGAACATTTCGGTACAATCAACCAACCCGAAAATCAAAAACTGAATTAAAAATAAATACATATAGTCAGTTCACTTACCTGACTTTGTTTTTCTTGAATTAAATTGAGCACTTTTTCAGTACGATTATAATCTTTAGCACTACTGTCCGTGAATACATAAATTAAAGAATTAGGTCTTGACGCTTCCAGTGCTAGCTCAATGCCGGTAATCGTCATTTCTGGACAATCCCCACCACCTTGAGTATACACATTGTCTAAATATTCATAAAATGTTTTAGTTGATGTAGTAACTTTTGCCGGGCCAACATCTGAAATTAAAAAAGCAATCAAGAAAATGGTTTAAAAGTTATGACAGCCTTTCTTCTAACAATCTGTTTTTTAATAGCACAGTAGCGTAGTGCATCTTCAAGTTAAGTTATTGGTGAGAATATTTTGATTTCTTATCATACATAGAATAGTGTATCATTCTAAGTCATAATACATATTCATTTCCAAACTCAGTTATCATGTCAGAATAGAGTAAGTGTCCTTTGGATTGATAACAGTTAGAGGGAGAAACTCTGTTTATCGACTCATCACTTTCCTGTTTGTAGATATAAGGAGTCATTTTGCAGTAATTCATGGGCCTAAGTTTTGTGACTGTCGGCGTACCATGCTAAATATTAGTTTCTTGTCTATTAGCCTTGCAACTATATCTCATGACTAACTGGAATTGACAACCATATCGGTTGCCGTCAGACGACCCACTCATATATAGTGGGTTTTCAAGTGTTGGTTTGTAGGGATTTGATTGGTTTCAGGATTTCATCATGAGCTGACATTAGTTAGAGAGAACCATTGGAAAACTTGGGAGTACTGGACAGCTATTTCGTCCTAATGGTATACCAGCTTGCCTTTTAACCAGAAGGTCCTGGGTTCTAATCCCGGTGGGTGCGTACTGTGAAGAGCCCCAAACTAGGACGAAACAGCTGTCCAGTACTCCCAGTTTTCCAATAGTTCTCTAACTAATGTCAGCTCATGATGAAATCCTGAAAAGTGGGTTTTACTATCAATGGGTTTTAAGTTATTATGAAAGTATAATTTTAGTTATGAGTTTATAGATTTCTATTCACACCACGGATACATTTACATTAGTGCTAGATGGATATGGATTTCTTTTAGATATGTGTGTACCTTGACAGTTGGCTGAAAACCTTCGTCTCTAAATTGTTACTAAAAATCTAAAACTGCAAAGTCAATATGTTTTACTATTCAGTCATAGTGGATACCACTGAGACTCGATCCCAGGATCCGTTTCAAATACCAAAGCGCTGCCTACTAGGTCACTGAGCCACGAGAAGCACTGGGGAACACCATCACTCAACGGGGACACAATTACATCCAAATGATAAGTTCCCAATAGGAAGACGCATGCACCTTGGATTCCATTGTTAGGCTCTATTGACGAAAGAACACTATTCATATCATAAAGTGTCGTCGAAGTATCCATCCTAGAAGGTGGTATATCAATAATATGAATGAAAAGAATATAGAAAAAAAGGATTTCAACAAATAGTCACTATGCTCCTGTTTTTATTATTTCCTTCTAAAAGGCAGATTGCTTCATGAACATAAATCAGCTGCAGAAATGCAGGAAATCGAAGATGAGTAAGCAAATATTCGGAATCCACCAACTGCAACAACACATTAACTTCTGAGGGAATGAGTCCAAAGCGGTAAGTTCAAATGGACTCAGGATACCACCGAAACACTACTGACATTTAATGACCCATGATTTCTCAATCCAGCTGATGTGTGGTGTAGCAAAAGTCGCTGTCCAATGTTGTCATTTAGTGACTGGTTGAACACCTTTCTTGCTTGAACCCTTTAGTTTCTTATCATTAGAATACTGGACGTTCCATTTCAAAACTGGACAAAAATCACTACCATTCTGCCATTCACCTGTGAGTAATTACTTGATTTGATGTTGAATTCCATGTTACCATGTCGAAGGAAACTTGAAAATAAAATCGACCATACTTTCAACCTTTTTTGTCCAGCCAATTTAACCACAGACACTGGATGAAGTGACAAAATAAACATGTGAATTAGTTATCTTGAAACTGTCACAAGATAAACGAACAGTCTACTACACTGACACTTTTTATTCACACAGGTGTCTTAGTTTAGCAGACGGTGGCTAACAAAAGGTGTTTAGTCTAGTTTCTAGTGTATGCATGTGCGTGTGTGTATGCAAGATGGGGTGAGAGGGAAGGTGGGATGGAAATACGAAACTCAACTCTGCAAATTAAGCAAATTATATTGTTTAAAGGTTCAAGATATTAAAATCTAACTTAGTGAAAATTCTGCTTCCATTCCATTCCATTCTTATTTCTAATGTTAGTTTTTTGGGTAAGAAAAAGATATCCCCTGAATTTTAAAAGTTGTTAGGATACGTTTAAATTATTTTGAATATTTCTTTGACTGCTTTTATTGGACTGAACTGTTCGATCTCAACTAACATATCGGCTTCTAGTTTGGACTCTTGAAATGTTTTTGAACGTTAACATGATGTGTATTCGTTTGATGGTGACTAGTGGTGGAATCCAGCTAGCGTCTTTTATCTTATTTGGAACTCATCATCTGGAATTAACTGCATCCTCATTAAGTGATACTGTTCCCATTGAAACTGAAATCTAGAACTTATGGCTTCTAAGGCCAGACTATTATCCTCTAGCGAACATTAAATATATCACTACTGGAAACGACAGGACGATGTACAAACATATGTTTGCTGTTATAGAAGTAGAAGGATGCTCCCACAAGTTAATCTGGGATCGACAAGGTAGATACTGTCTTTAAGTAGATGAGCGCTGTATTCTTATTACTGCATAAATTCGTCAAAGCACCTGTCTGCTTTTAAAGAAGAATGCTTAACTGCGATATTAATTAGATGGCCTATGAAATAGATGCACTTGTATCTTTCATAAACTTTATCAGTGGTCATCAGTCGGTGCTACAGATAATGTGAGCTAAGTGGATAATCATGTTTTTCAAATATTTTTGCTCAGTTATTTTTTTTCTGTATCAATAATTAAGTTACCTTTTATTAAAAAAATACGTGAAAATAATGAAAGCAGTGATCTAGGATAATCGCGATTTGATGGGGTCTTTCTTAACTCTATATAGACTTGCAGACTAAGTTTATATTTAATGGACGCTCTGTCCGTAGTCTTCACTACTATTATAGATTTCTATTCCCCGATGAAGACTATTTTATATACGACAAACAGGATTTACAAGAATAATTACGGAGTAATCCTGTTTGGCGGTTATTTTAAAACTTTGTTCTATCCTTCAGTAATTATCGTCTCACTTATCATTTTGATGACATTATCATTTAAATGTAAAGCTGTTCCGTCAAAGGTCCTGAGTTTAAATCCCTGTGAATGCAAATGTATGAAGAATCGCAAACTAGGACGAAACAGCTATCCAGTCCCTCCTAGTTTTTCAGTGGTTCTATGACTGACATCAGGTGATGTTCGAACCTCCAACTAATCAAAATGCTTCACAGCAACACCTGAAAATTTCCCAGTCTTTCTTTAGCTGTTAACACTTAAAAATAATAAGTATTAGGAAACAGATGATTTCAACTACAAAGACGTATAAATATTGTCACCCCAGTAACCGCAGAATAAACAGGAATACAATACAGTCAATGTTCGAATAATCGAACAACCAGGAGTTTATTTATGCATAATATGACAGAAAGTTCAAGAGTCAAGAAGAAAGAAAGCAAGTTGTTAGACAATACGTGACGGTGATGGTGGTAAGTAGATATGTTAAGTAAAAGTAAACTGTAAATTATTACATCACAACCCGTTTTTGATTTCCACTCAATCAACTGAACTCATTATTAAGCGTTACAATTTATTAATTCAAAACAGATAACCCTATTGATAAACTTAAATGAGGCATTAGGCAGACATATACATACATAATATAAACATGACTGCAATATTTAATTTCATTTCATCTTATGTTTTTATCAAATATACACTGTATGTGGATTAAAAGTGATGATCAAAACCCACTGACTATCCATCTTGTACTAGTACCACGATATATTTTCTGATATAATTCTAATTTGCCTTTACTAGCTATGATATGTTAACATTAATGCATTTCTAATTGTAGAACCTTAAGAAGAATTTATTGAAAACAGCTGTTCGTTATAATTATCCTTGTTCTGAATATATATACATATACATATATATACATATATATATATGTATATATATGTATATATATATATTCACCCCATGTATTCCAACTCCCTCCCTCTCCCTTTAACTCTTGAACTTTCTGTCATATTATATTTAAATAAACTCTCGTTGTTTAATTACTTCAATACTGTCTTGTATTCATGTGCAGTGTTGCACTGCTGTGCTAAAAATTACTGAATGCTTTTTCGGTTGAAATAATGTTAATGTTACACATTAACATTTATTTATGGAATCACATTTGATTTTCAGTCTGTTAACAGTAGTAAAAAAAATGTATACTTTCTCTTCTGTAAATATTTTCCTTATTGTATGCTTCTGTTACTTGTGTTTACATACCATTACCTAAAAAGGTCACTTGTGAGCTTTTCAGATATCATTACATCAAGTACTACTATTCTGATAGTTTTCAAGACTTACTATTCCAAGTATTGGTTTTTTAGGGATTTTGTTTGATTGCATGGAGGATTTCATCATGATCTGACATCAGTTAGAGAACCACTGGAAAAGCTGGGAGTACTGGACAACTGTTTCGTCCTAATTTGGGACTCTTCATCAGTATGAACCCACCGGGATTCGAACCCAGGGCCGTGACCAGTAGAGTACAGCAAGTTGAAGATGAGGCAGTAACTCATCGAAGAGGACATTGCGAAATGGTCGCGCTATGTCATGAATCGGCAGAAGTTATAATTCAAGGACCGTTGGATCGCGTCCCATTGGCTCAATGCTCTATGAGCTAGCCTTGTGCGTACTGATGAAGAGTTCCAAACTAGGACGAAACAGCTGTCCAGTACTCCCAGCTTTTCCAGTGGTTCTCTAACTGATGTCAGCTCATGATGAAATCCTCCATGCACTTACTATTTCACTTTAGGATGCGCTGCTCTACATAATTTATTATTAATCAACAATAGTCTATGACCCAAAACTGGTTTTCACAAAATCAGTCATTGAAGAATAAAATTTCGAGATGAACGTGATAAGCAACAGGCAACGACAAGCGAAATATGTCCAATAGAGAATAGAGTATATTGTTTGCGAAATAACAATGTCATGATTAGATGGCCGGAGACAGTCACTAAGATGCCATGGATCTAGATTTCACACTTATTGACATTTGTCAACAAGGCGTATCTAAAACATCTAAGGAATTGATGTTTGGTCGAGGGATAGGAAATTGCATAACTCAGTGCTGCAATCAGAAGCCTCCCAGTCCTGAGTACCACGATAGTAACGACATAACAAACCTGAGTAATATAATTTAGTCAGAACCACTTAGGACTAGAAAAAATGTGACTAGTAACTCTCTAATGACTTATCAGTGTTTGTGGTGAAATCAATGTATAGTTAATTATTTCCCTATATTTCGTCTTCATTATTCCTTGAATCTGCCCAATACATAACTGTCATAACTTCTTATATTCAATATATATATATATATATATATATGGTTATAGTCTAAATGAGTGGAAGAAGAAACTAGACAGAAAGCAAAGCTGTCAAAAGTTGTGAGACAATAAATTCCTAACATTACATAGGTTTTTACATCGTTTCATAATGTATTCATCGACAATGGATCTGTAGTGATTCATCTTGAAGGGTTAAACCATACTGTTTAATTATTTTACATATCTACTCCTTTGATTTTGGTTGTATTTTCACACGAACAGAATATTCACAAGTTTACATAACCAGTTTAGCAAAAGTGTCTGTTATTTGACAGTTAAATGAGTCATTCATTCATCGTGCACAAATATGCCAACTGCTATTGTCTAAACAATGTCTTTGTTCATATCTTCTTCTTTTCCTTATACTGTAAGGGCAAATATAAAAGAGAAATGTTAAGAAATGTATTACTTATAGGCATTTGAAGCCTTTTATCCGAAAAGGATAACAGCTGGCATATGCGGATATTACTATCCGTTGCTAGTTGACAAACGTATCTAATCTTCTGTTAATATATATATATATATATATATATATATATATATGGCGCTTATAAGTTACGTAATATTAACCCATTATAATAAATTCAGAACAATGGCTTGATGTTAAGGAAAAATTGTTCTTGTCAAAAATATAAAAATTTCAACCAGACGTGTGCTTTCACAGACGGAAGCAGTAGAAAGTATTTTACACTAAGGCATATAAGAGCAGGAGTACGATAAAAATGTCAAATAGATTCGAAGACAGTTTGAACAACCTCATAATTTATTCAATACAAGAATGATAAAAGTGAACAATTGTTTTTAATAACTTCTTCATACTTTACAGTTACAAGTATATCTATGTAGAAAGTGGAATACAATGTCCAGTGTAAAATTTCAATGTCAGTATAGGATAGAATGTATAGAAAATTAAAGGGTGTGAAATTTTTCAATTAGTCTAACAGTGGTGATCTGACAGATTCACTTAGATACTGGCAATACTATTGTACATATTTAAAAAAAATGTGACACTAAGAAATTAATAACCAACCCTACAACATCATCGAAGCTTCTTTAGTTGGAGTCGAGTATTTCAGTCTAATAGAATCAATTAATCGACAAGAAGTGATGTACAAAAGGTGGCTCTTGTAGCCCAGTAGCCTAATAGTAACGCTTTGGCGTTTGAAACTACAGGTGCTAGACGTCAGTCTTGACGGGAACGCCATCATAAATAATGATTTGGTCGAGTTTTGAACTTTTCATCCCACATGCCGTATCAGATTTCTTTCATTTTTCTAATTACTTAAATCACTTAAATGTCCTCCAGATGTACTATGTGTTCTTGGACATTTTTATAGCATATTTTTGTCTTCAAAGTGAAGGAAAATCAACACAC